CACATGCCTCCACATGGGTTGATATTGGATGCATACCAATGGTAGCTTTAAAAATTAATGTTTTTGGCTTCTGGGATAAGAACCCACTCTTTGAAAAAAACTGCTGGGAAAACTGGAAAAGAGTATGGCAGAAACTAGGCATAGACCCAAATCTCACACCATATACCAAAATAAAGTCAAAATGGGTTCATGATTTACATATAAAGGCTGATACTATAAGCAAACTGGGAGAGCAAGGAGTAGTTTACCTATCAGATCTATGGAGAACAGAAGAATTCATAACCAAACAGGAGATAGAGAACATTATGAAAAGCAAAATGGATAATTTTGATTACATTAAATTGAAAATCTTTTGCACAAACAAAGCCAGTGCAAGTAAGATTAGAAGGAAGGTAGAAAATTGGGAAAGAATTTTTACAACCAGTCTCTCTGAGAAGGGCTTCATTTCTAAAATACATAGAGAATTAAGACAAATTTATAAGAATGCAAGCCATTCCCCAATTGATAAGTGGTCAAAGGATATGAACAGACAGTTCTCAGATGAAAAAATTAAAGCCATCTATAGTCATATGAAAAAATGCTCTAAATCATTATTAATTAGAGAAATGCAAATCAAAACAATTCTGAGGTACCACATCACACCTATCAGATTGGCCAACATGGCAAAACAGGCAAATGATAAATGTTGGAGAAGATGTGGGAAAATTGGAACAGTAATGCATTGTTGGTGGAGTTGTGAAATGATCCAACCATTTTGGAGAATAATTTGGAACTATGCGCAAAGGGCTATAAAAATGTGCATACCCTTTGACCCAGCAATAGCACTTCTAGAGCTATATCCCAAAGAGATTATACACATGGGAAAAGGACCCACATGTACAAAAATATTCATAGCAGCGCTTTTTGTGATGACAAAGAATTGGAAATTGAGAGGGTGCCCATCAATTGGGGAATGGCTGAGCAAGTTGTGGTATATGAATGTAATGGAATACTATTTGCTATAAGAAATGATGAACAGGCTGCCTTCAGCAAAACCTGGGAAGACTTGTATGGTCTGATTCTGAGTGAAGTGAGCAGAACCAAGAGAAAGTTGTACACAATAACAGCCACATTGTGCAATGACTAATATTGATAAACTTAACCCTTCTCAGCATTACAAGGATCTAAGACATCTCCAGAGGCCTCATGGCAGAAAATGCTGTCCACACCCAAAGAAAGAACTATGGAAGTTGAATCGCCATCTTTTTTTTTTTCTCTTCTGATGAGTTTTGTTTCCTCTTTCTGATGGTTCCTCCTGGTGGTTTTAATTTTAACTTACAACTTCACTAATTTGAAAATATGTTTAATAGGAATGCAAATGTATATCCTATATCAGATTGTGTGCCATCTTGGGGAGGGTGGTGGGGAGGAAGGAGGAAAAAAATTTTAAACTCAAAAGCATATGGAAGTGATTGTTGATAAATCAAAATAAATTAATAAAAAATTTTAAAAAGGTGATGCTGAAAAAAAATTAATGTTTTTGAATGAACATAGAGTGGGTAATATGTTGAACTACATGATATTCTATGCTAAGCTCTAGATTTGCATACCAAGAATGACAGGAATTATTCACCACTATGTCACTCATATAAAGGAAAGATAATCACAGAATTTTGAAAATGTGACCTTAGAAATCTTTTTTTCCACATCCTTCATTTTTGAAATCAGGAAGTGTGGATTCAGAGAAACAAGGGCTTAGCCTTTTATTGACTAGCTGAGATTATACTGGAAAAAATATCAGAATTAATGACTATCAATTTAATTAAATTGTCATTTTTCCACTACTCCAAATTATATGAAAATAAATTTTGCCTTAGGATAAAGTTGTTTCAAGTGAAAAAATTTCATTTGAAAATGTTAATAACCACTTTCAAAGCTATTATTCAAGAAAAATGCTGCCCAAATATTTCAGTCATATCATTATATAGATAAAAGCATTTTGGGGGGGGGCCACTAGAATAGGTGTCTAAACCTAAGTCTCTTATCATCTAGTCTACTTTTTAAGCTTTATGACAACATGGAACATTAGGAAGTTGCTGGCTCTGGAACCAGAAGACCTAGTCTGAGATTCTGCTTTTGATGCTTACACACTTGAAATCCCTGAGATTAAATGGCTTTTTATACCTGGAAACCCTAGATCTATGATTAAATGACCTTGGATGAATTACTTTACCAGTCTCAGACCTTCATCTATGAAATGGAGATATTTACTATTTACAAAATAAAATTGTTTTGAGAATTAAATCGTAAAGACAAAATTGTAAAATGCTTAGTATATTAATATTCCTAATCCAGGCATAAAGGATGATAACACAGTCAAATTAGGGGAGCGTAGAAAAATTTATCTGTAACATCTATGGATAAGGGGAAATGTATGGCCAAATAAGAGAGGATCATGGGAAGTAAAATGGATAATTTTGATTAAATGAATTTAAAGTTTTTGCACAAACAAAAACAATACAGTCAGAATTAGGAAAGCAGAGAACTCAGGAAAAAATTTATAGCAAGTTTCTATGAAAAAGACTCATTTCTCAAATATATATAGAACTGAATAAAATTTATAAAAACATGAATGGGTAGTTTTCAGAAGAAGAAATCAAAGCTACATGAAAAAATGCTCTAAATCATTTGCTATTGATCAAAGAAATGACAACTGAAAACAATTGAAACAATTAAGTACCACCTCACACCTATCAGATTGGCTATCATGATAAAAAAAAAAAAAGAAAACACAAATGTTGGAGGAGATGTAGAAAAATAGGGATACTAATGCTGTGTTGGTGAAGTTGTGAACCAGTCCAGTGATTCTGGAGAATAATTTGGAACCATGCCAAAAAAGCTATAAAATACATACATTTTGACCCAGTAACATCATTACTAAGTCTGTATCCCAAAAAGACCAAAGAAAAGGGAAAAGACCTATTTGCATAAAATATTTGTAGAACCTATTTTTGTGGTGGCAAATAATCAGAAATTGAGTGGATGCCCATCAATTGGGGAATGGCTGGACAAGCAGTGGTATATGATTGTGATGGAATACTATAGTGTTATAAGAAATGACAAGCAGATTTTTTTCAGAAAAACTGGGAAGTCTTACATAAACTGATGCAGAGTGAAGTGAGCAGAACCAGAAGACTGTTATACATAGTAACAGCAATATTGTAAGATGACCATCTGTGAAAGATTTTACTACTCTGATAAAGACAATTATATACAAGACAATCCCAAAGGACCTATGATGAAAACTGTTATCAACCTGCAGAGAGATAACTGATCAATATGAGTACAGATTGGAGTATATTTCTTTCACTCTCTTTAGTGTTCTTGGTGGGTGGGTGGGTTTTCTTTTGTACTATGGCTAATACGGAAATATATTTTGCATGTTTTCCATGTATAATTGATATCATATTCTATGTATAATTGATATCATGTTACTTTGGTAGTGTATCAGGGAGGGAGAGAATTTGTAGCTAAATTTTTTTTATTGAATGTTAAAAATCTCTAAAGGTAATTGGGGAATATTTAATTATGTAAAATATATTTTAAAAAAGATTAACATTACTATTATATCCATGTATCATTTTTGGATTTGATGAACCAGGTTCACATTAGTGGCACTCTTAATAATGTTTAATAACGTTTCATCATCCTGGGCTGGTTGGTTTGTTTGTTTTTGGAGGGGGCTGTGTGTATATGTGTATACACACACACACACACACACATACAACATATATATGTATGCAAACATGAAATTTGGTTAATTTTCCTAAGAATCCTTAGCTTTCAGGCATACATATAGGCTAGAAAGCCAAGTTTTATTTACTTTTTCAAATATTCAATTGGATCTTTGATGATATCATATGTGATTTTTCTTCAAACCATGCAATACCTGCACATTCAGTGCAGCATTTGCCTATGTTCTATAAATTCATCAGAAGTGCTCTACCCAGTGACCTAGAGACTTTCCTTTGACATGAAAATACCAACAGGGCACAGAAACAGTCTTTCAGTTATCCCTCACTTTTGCCTTCTGACAAGCCAATATTCTTGTTTTCCATAATTTTTTGATGATGACCTTTGCTTTTATTCTTTGTAATTCCATGTTTGTGATACATTCACACCTATTCTGCATATCTCCATTTCCCTCTAAGTGATATTATTTCAAATTCTTCAGAGACTACAGTGTTCCATGACTCATGGCCATAAAACAAAACCTGTAGAATAACAAGTCTTTGTTTCAGGAAGATGTGTGTGTTCATTAAAGTTTCTAAATGTCTTTCCCTTCTCATGATAATAGTCTCTTCTTTCATGTCTGTATGGTTTCATATAAAGTCCACATGGCTATAGAGGCTTCTTTTCATGTTTGCAGTCTGATATTTGTATGTCTCTTCTCTCTCTATCCTCTCCCTCAAAAAGAACATTGTGAAATTTCTGGTGTTCTCTCCTTTAAGAAGATCTCTCCTTTCTCTGTCTGAATCTTCTGTCACAGTCTTTTGTCTGACTTGTGTCTTTGACTGTCTTATATCTGACTTTTAAGTCACTTTTAAAACCAAGATCAAGAGCTCACTGAAGTTCATCAACTCGATTTTGTTATCAAGTCTGCTTAAAGCCTTTGTTATTAGCAGGATGACAAAGATATCAATAAAACAAGTAAAGACCCAGTACAAGGATAATTCCATACTATATTCAGGAAACATATCTTGTTCAGGAAACAACTGAGATGAAAAATGTGCACTGACTCTTTATGGTGAATGCATCTGTATTCCTATGACACGATTATGATTCTTAAAAGATTCAAAGATTTATAAAGCCCTTAATAAAACAATATTTTTCAAATAATTTTATATAGGCACATTTTATTTAAATAAAGATGTACATGTCTCATTACCACTTCCACCATTTATATCTTGAGAAATTGGATTTTTGGGGAAATGAAATTTTAATTCTCTAGGTAAACTTACCTCTCACTATGATATTGGTGGATTTTTTGGCTGGATTCCCCACATTATTGTTGGCAATGCAGCTATAAGTACCAGCATCATCCGATGTGATGGCAGGAATAGTTAAAGTTCCTCCATTCAATACAGTCTTTTCAGGAAGAGTCCCAATGGACCTTACCCAGGTAAGTGTAGGGGTAGGTTCACCCCCTGTTGTAACACATACTAAAGTTATGGCCTCTCCAGGATTTACAACTATGGGATCATCCACCAAGAGTTTAATTGATGGAGAAGCTGAAAAACATAAAAAATAGAACATGCACTTACTTTTAAAGTTTTCTAATAGTTCCATAGTTACAACTCATTTATTTAAACTCTGTATTAACAATATTGTTCCCTTTTTAAAAATTTATACTCACAAAACTTTCATTTAAATTCAATTAAGACATAGTAAGTTTAAAATCATATATATGCATATATACATGTACATACGTATATATCTATATGAATGTGTTACATTAAAAAACTATATTTTAACAATCAAAAGAACTAAACAATTACTTAAATATGACATTTAAAATTTTTATCCCTGAACATTAAGAATGATGTTTTAAAGGGTTTTTTTATTTTTATTTTATTTTTCATTTATCCCTTAGTATGAACATTAAAATATTCAAATGGACCTATGATAACTTCAATTTGGATACTCTTCAAAGATGTAGCTCACAAACCATCCATTCTTATCTATCCAGTGAGACTCTTGTCCAAATCTTCTCATAAATTCCCCACAATCTGATGCAGGATTTACCTGCTTTCTGGATCTACCTCTTATAATTACACGAGCAATATATTTTTTCTTATAATTTATATGTTAATAATACCTTTAGTTTGTTTATGTCTAGAGGCAACTGGTGATACAGTGGATAAAGTAATGGGCCTGGGATCAGGGAGACCCAAGTTAAAATCTGGCCTCAGACACTTAAATCACTGTGTAACCTTGAACAAGTCACTTTAACCCCTGTTTTCCTATTTCCTCAACTATAAAATGGGGATAACTACCAACTTTAAAGATTTGAGGATCAAATGTTATAATATTTGTAAAATGCTCAGCATAGTGCCTAGCACATAGCATGCTTTATTAAAATGCTTAATCTCTGTTCCCCTTGCTTTGCTTCTTCTTTATATTTGACACATTTGTCATTAGTTATATGTTGTATGCTACTCACATTTACCATACATTTCTGTACTCTTCACTTTTTAACACCAAGGTTGGTATTAAAAACAAAAGGTGGACTTTGACATCCAGATTACATGGACAAAGGACCTGGTCACAGTCCCAGGGCCAGGAGGAGTCCTAGCACTTCTGTAGTGCTACAGGGAAACAATATTCCTTTCAGGGAAAAGACTACAACACAAGCTAGGATAGCAGTGGCCAAAGTTCTCCTTAGGCCATATGAAATTGGAAGACCCAAAAACCTACAGAACTCTAGAAGCAGCTCAGAAAATAGCATCAAAAAACTCCTGAAGTTTGGAAGACTGCCCTCCACACTGAGAGAAGAGCCCAACTTTAACATAAACTTAAAATTAAAAGTCAAGAGATAAGCTAGAAAAAAAGCTAACCATAACAAAGTAGTTATGGTAACAGAGAAGATCAAGATAAAAACCCACAAGACAACTACATAAAAGCAGCTAAAAGTAATCCTTACCTGAAAGCGGCTTTGATCTTAGATGGACTAGGGAGCTACTGGAGATTACCCAGTGAGGGACTGACATAATTACAAACATCAAGTAAGAATATCACCATGCAGTTCCGCTTCTGGGAGCCAAATAAGAAGTCATTCTCACCATCCCTTATTAACCTCTGACAGCCCAGAAAATATCACTCCAGAAAAAACCCTGCAACAACTGAACCAGCAGAAAGAAGGGGCGCAGCCGTCCAGTAGCCCAGGAAGCTTGAGGGATTAACAGGAAAGGCCCCTCTTGCCCTGGGGGAGGGGGAGAAGTACAGAATGGGAGGCATCACAGCAAGCTAGCAGAAAGCTTGACCTCAGCATATGAGAGGGAGATCCTGAACCCGAGGTGGTAGAGCAGGCAAACACCAAAAGCAGGACCCCCAAGTGCCTAAGTAAGGACAGAGGAACCAGTGCTCACAAAAACACCATGTGCCTCAGTGTTCTATGACAGTCAACTGTCCCAGTGCCTCAGGAAAACTCTGGGAAGCACTGCTTCAAGGCGGAAAACCCCAGGTGGAGAAATATACAGCCACAGTGAAACATCCATCTGAAAGGAGCCAAAGAAAGTGGAAGAAAAGGTCCAGGTGAGCAGGCAGTCTCCAGAGGCCAGATCACCCAATTCTACCCCTAGAGTTCCAGTGTTGCTGATTCCAGTCGAACACCAGGTAAGCTGCCGGAACTCTACAGCCTCCAGCTGCCAGTATCTGAGGCCCCAGCACACAAAGTGAGTAACCAGCCCCAGGCTTCTAACACAAGAAGCTTGGGCTAGTTCCCTCTGCTCCCCAGCAGAAGATCTCAATCTTTTTAAAGGTCAAGAAATAAGCAAACATCATGAGCAAAAAGAAATGTACTACAGATTCTTATTATGGGAACAGTGAAGATCAAGGCAGAAATTCTGAAGGGGACAACATTGTCAACAAACCCACATCTGGAACTTCAAAAGGGAATATGAACTTGTCTGAAGCCCAAAGAGCCTACTTGGAAGAGCTTGAGAAGGACATTAAATGTCAAATAAGAGAGGTAGAAAAAAAATTGGGAAAAGAAATGAGAGGTATGCAAGAGAGAGCCAATAGCTTGGAAAAGGAAAGACAAAAATGAACTGAAGAAAACAACGCATTAAAAAGTAGAATTGGCCAAACAGAAAAAGAGACACAAAAACTCAACGAGGAGAGCTCCTTAATGGAAAGACAAGACATGAACAGAATCTGACTTTCAAATATAAAACTCAAGAGAGGCATCAAAAAGTAAATATGAAAGAGGAACGATAAGGAAATCTATACGGTTGAACTGTTTACATTCCCATATGGGAAGAAGATAATTGAAATTCCTAAGAACTTTATCATTATTGGGGCCTTTAAAAGGAGTAACATAGACAGAGGGCAAAGGTGTGAGATGACTATGATGGGATGGTTTCAAAAACATGAAAGAGCTGAGAAAGAAGGATGCTCTGGGATACTCTAGGAGAACAGAGAAGGGAGAAGAAGAATGGAAAAAATTATCTCACATAAAAGAGGCATAAATGGAAGACCTTTTACAATGGAGAGAGGATGATTGGGAGTGGAAGGCAACACTTGAACCTTACTCTCATCACAATTGGCTCAAAGAGGGAATAACATACACTCAGTGGAATGTAGAAATCTCTTATCCTACACAGAAGTAGAAGGGGAAGGGCATGACATGGTGGTCAGAAGGCAAATAGACTTTTGAGGAGACATGAGGTAAAAAAGAGAGAGAAAGAAAGATAAGCAGGGAAAAATAGGATGGAAGAAAATACACAGTTAACAATCTTAACTGTGAATGGGAATGGGACAATATCATCCATAAAACAGAAGCAGGTAGCAGAATGGATTAAAACCCAGAATCCAGCAATATATTCTTTACAAAAAAGACACTTGAAACAGAGAGACACAAATAAAAATAAGGGTCTGGAGCAAAATCTATTATGCTTCAGCAGAAGTTAAAAAATAAACGAGTAGGGCTAGCAAACACCATCTCAGATAAAGCTAGAGCAAAATGGGCCTAATTAAAAGATATTAGCAGGGGCAATTAATTAATATCAATATTAAACACATATACACCAAATGGTATAGCACCCAAATTCTTAAAGGAAAAGTGAAATGAGTTATAGGAGGAAATAGACAGTAAAAGTATACCAGTGAGGGACGTCAATGTTTCCCTCTCAAAACTAGATAAATCTAACCATAGAATAAAGAAGAAAGAAGTTAAGGAGATGAATAGAATTTTAGAAAATTTAGATATGATAGAACTCTGGAGAAAACTGAAATGTGAATAGAAGGGAGTATACCCTTTTTATCTGTGTTGTATGGCACTTTCACAAAAATTGACCATGTTATGACCAAGGCATAAAAACTTCACAACTAAATGAATAAAAGTAGAAATATTAAATTTTAGATCATAATGCAATAAAAAAATTCATTCAACAAATGGCCATGGAAATATAGATTAAAGATTAATTTGAAGGTAATCTAACCCAAGAGAATAAGTGTGTCAAAGAATAAATCACAGAAACAATCAATAATTCATTAAAGAGAATGACAACAATGAGACAACATACCAAAATTTATGGGACACAGTCAAAAACAGGACTTAAAGGACATTTTGTATCTCTAAACACTTACACCAATAAAAGAGAGAAAAAGAAAATAAATGGACTGGACATAAAAGTTAAAAAAATAAAAAGAATAAATTAAAAATTCCCAATTAAACAACAAATTTAAAATCCTGAAAATCAAAGGAGAAATTTACAAAATTTAAAGAAAACCATTGAGCTAATAAATAAAACTAGGAGCTTATTTCATATGTGTCTATGTGTATCAACAAAAATAAAACAGATGTAGCATCCATTAATTTGATTACTTTGTGAAATTGTTATTAATGTGTTTTTATATCACCTTCACTTCCTTTTTGACATTGATCTTTTATTTTTTTCTTTTTTAAAATTTTTATTTCTTTGTTTTTACTTTTCAACATTTATTGCTATAAGATTTTGAGTTCCAAATTTTCTCACCCTCCCTAAAACAACATGGAATCTCATAAAGGCTACACATACAAAATCAAATTAAACATATTTTCACATTAGTCATGTTGCAAAGAAGAATTAGAACCAAAGACAAAAACATGAGAAAGAAGAAACAAAAAAAAAGAGAAAATAGTATGCTCTGACCTGCATTCAAACTGCATGGTTCAGGATATGAATAACATTTTCCACTGAGTCTTTTAGAATTGTCTTAGATCATTGGATTTCTGAAAAGAGTTAAGTTTATCAAAGTCGGTCATCACACAATGTTGCTGTTATTATATACAATGTTTTCCTGGTTTTGCTCACTCCACTCAGCATCAGTTCATTCAAGTCTTTCCAGATTTTTCTGGTCTGCTTATTCATCATTTCTTATGGAACAACAGCATTCCACTATATTTATATAACACAACTTATTCAGCCATTCCCCAATTGATGGGCATCCCCTCAATTTCCAATATTTTGACACTATGAAAAGGGCTGCCCCAGATAATTTCGTACATGTTGGTCTTCTCCCCATTTTT